GGGCAGGGCTCCGCGCCGCCGCCGCTCCCGGTACGATCGGCCCGTGGGGTCCGGGTCCGGGTCCCTGCCGTCTCCAGCCGCAGGATTTCTTGACGCGTCTGTTATTAAATAAATACATGGATTAAAAAAAACCGAAAACCCTCTTAAAAGTCGAGGCAAAGAGCAGACGTTTGTGAGTAAGAGACTCCCAGGACTTGACTCAGTCTCTGCCCGGAGACGTCAGTAGTTAATCGCAGGAAAAGCACTCGTTGTCCCCCTTACTCAGTCTGCCTGGAGACTTCAGCTGCTCTTCCAGAGCCCGGCGCCCGGGCGGTCGTCTGGCCAGAAAGCGGTGCTGTTTAGCAGCTCTTGTCACTTGCTGGGTGTAATTCAGAGGATTTAAGATTTTTTTACATTGGGGTGGAGGGGCAGCAAATGAGAACCTCGCTGTCTTCATGAACACTGGCTGAGGCTTTTGCTTTCCTACCCTGAGTATCTAACACGATCTTGTTTTCCTTTGGCATTTCAGACTAGCCGCGAAAGCTGTCCTGCCCTAGCCATTGACGCTATGGAAGACCGCATCAGCTGGTCTAGTCTATAGGATGGTAGCTCAGAGTAAGGTGGCAGCAGATAATGCGGTTGCAGCAGACCCGAGACGTCTACTTGAGTCTCCAGCACGGGATCATCCACAGCCTAGAGTCTACCACGGCTCTGCCCGTCCCAGCACTGTGCAGGCACAGAGTAACACACACTTTCGAACCTTTCGCTCGCAGGCGGATTTCAGTAGCATCACCCGAGCGAGCGCCTTGTTGGATGCCTGTGGCTTTTATTGGGGACCTCTGACTGTCAATGCTGCCCATGAGAAACTTAAGTCTGAACCTGAGGGCACCTTCCTCATCAGGGACAGTACACAGAAGAACTGTTTCTTTGCCATCAGTGTTAAGACTGCTACTGGGCCCACCAGCATCAGAATAAACTTCCAGGGTGGATGTTTCAGCCTGGATGGCAGTAAGGAGAATTTTGACTGTCTCTTCAAGCTGTTGGAACATCATATAAACTCCCCTAGGAAACTGCTGGTCACTCCACTGCGCAAGGTCCGTGTGCGGCCCTTGCAGGAGCTTTGCCGGAAAAGCATTGTGGCAACGTTTGGAAGAGAGAATTTAAATCGTATCCCTCTCAATCCAGTTTTAAAGGACTATCTGAAATCATTCCCATTTCATGTCTAAGTACAGCATTACCTGTATGCGTGCTTTCCAGAGTGAAAGATGCTCTTGGAAATCCAGGTTCCTGGGTTTTTAAATCTGGTCAACAAAAACAGAACTTATTTTTGTAGCAACATACTATACCTGGAAATGGAAATTGAACACTTAACTTACTATGTTTACACAAACTGTTTGCACAAACCTGGGGTTTCTAAACCCTGGCATAATCCTTCTGCTGGGCAGAATATAATATTATTTTATAATATTTTTAATGAAAGTAATGTAATAAACTTTATTGTGAAAGTTTTTGAAAATAACATCTCCGGTTCTTCTTAATATCTGCTCTTTATAGCTACAAACACAACACTTAGCAATAGCTAAGTGCTGATAATGGACCAGATCTTTAGCTGGTGTAAATAGCTTAGCTTTATTGAAATTGGTGAACTTCACTAGCTTCTCCTACCTAATAGATCAGATCTTTTATTTTTTGTGCTATCTACCTAAGAGGATCATGATTCCCAAGCAATATTCAGTGTAGAGACACCCATGTAAAGCAGAAAACAGAGAACAGATTTTTTTGTTGGAGTATTCTTCAGCTCCTACTTTTAAGAATGGTAATAAGAATGGAGTGTTTAGTGGAACATTTGGTTTTCAATTTTTTAACATTGGTTTATTTACTGTATATTTTAACATTAGAGCTTTAGAAAAGTACTAGGTTTTACAGAGGGATTTGAATATTGCATAGCCACAATTCCCATTTAATGGTTGGAGAGCTAGGAGTGGATGGTCTATACTTTGTTCAAATTTGCCCAAGGCAATGTTGAAGGCATAGAGGAAAAATACATTTCTACCATAAGGCTCTTCTTAAAAATCCATCTTTTATTGGGCTTGATTTTTGCCTGGGTGGAAAAAGTGGTTCTATAACAACCCCTTAAATGAGCTAATTGTACTAGCTTTGGCTTGTCTAACTTCTATTCAAAGCTGCATATATAGTTTACAAGGCTCTAGTTGAAAAGGGGTTGCTGTCTTACAAAATTAAACCACACAAATGTCAGCAGGGAAAAATCAAACTGTCCAGAACTGACTGCCTGACTTTAAAATTGATATCATTTCCATGTCCGTCTCGTGTGTGAGGGGGTGTCAGTTCTCTTTTTAAATCAACCAAAAAATAGCCAAAGTGGTCTGATCTTGAGACTCACTATATGACTTTGGGAGTCTCCTACCAGAAATGCCATGTTAGACTGGTCTGAGGATCTCAGGTGATCTACCAAACTTTCAGTGGTGACTGGGCTAATCACAAGGGACTGCATCCATTTTGACTGGGATTTTTAGAGAAGAACAGTGCCTGTTGGGGCATCTTATGTCTACTGGTTGTCACCTTTCACTGTCGCATGTAAAACTGCATTAGAAAGAGCTAAAATGTGCTACAGAATTCTGTAGTAAGAGACATTAACCCCACGGGAACTGCAAAAATAATTAGGACCAAGGATGTCATATAGTATGTAAAAAGGGACGATCCACACTCCAAAAATGCCCTGAACAAACATACATAAGATCCCTTAACAGGGGCAGGCAATTATTTTGGCCAGAGGGCTGCTCACTGAGTTTTGGCAAGCCATCAAGGGCCGCATGGCAGGCAGCCAGGGCAGATAAATATACATTTTCTAAATTTTGTAGGGGCCCCGCAGGCCGGATAGAATGGCTTGGTGGGCCACATCCAGCCCGCGGGCTGCATTTTGCCCACCCCTACCTTAAGATGTCATCCACAACATAACAAAGTTAAGTTCTCCTTAAATTTGTGTTATTGCCAAGTGTTTGTAGAGATCCATGAAAGGAGAGTTGGGGAACAAGACCAAATAGATTCAGAAATTTTAAAAAAATGACAGAGAATTATCCACAATAGTGGACTTATATTGTGATGGCTCATTGTGGGCTTTCTAATAGCAAGGCCACTTTAAAGGTGTGGGAATTAAGAAACCTCTCTCAATGTTGTAATTCACTTCTCTTTTAAGATGTTAATGCCACCTTGGGGACTCCATGAATGTTTGTAATGTTCTTTTTATTTAAAACCTTTCACAATATAAAGAACAACATGCAATTTAACTTTTGTAGTATTACTGTTCCCTTGGACTAAACAAGTTTCCAGCTCAAAAGCGTATCAGTGCTCCAGAGCAGTTAATGGTTACTCAGAGAGAACTGAGGCAAGCTAAAAATGTAAATATACAGCAGACATGCCATGTGTCCCACTTCCTTTGTGTCCCTCAGCTGCTTTGCTAAACCCTTTCTTTGGAATTACAGTCTTATTCTGCAAATAGACTCCCCTCCCCTACCATAAATCCCAGAGCAGAGGTTATCAGGCATCATTTCTGCTTAATTCTAAAGTTGGAAGCAGTCACTAAAAACAGTGCTTTCCCACAGCAGCTGTGAGGAACCCATAGTAAATAGGGGAAGTACTGAACAGCTTGCTATGCTGGAAAGGTGACTGCAGAGAAAAAACGGTATCTGTCATACAAATTGCTTTCAGGGCTTAAGGTCTTTGCTGAAAAACTTTTCCCTTCCTCCTTTATCCTGTAATATCTCTTTAGGCATCATGCATGTAACACTTGTAACCAAAGACCTATATAACAGCACTAAGAAGTAAAGAAATATGACATGATTCAGGGGAAATTTCTTTAACTTGCTTGACTGAGCATCTGCTGTAAGTTTGTATGAATTAAAAAGAGGGAGACTGTAGCAGACCAGCATGAGATGGAAATAAATTGGTGTTTAAGATGCTATGCCTTGTATTGAGGTATATGGAGTGAGGGTGATAAGGTTGCAGCATAAGGCAAAGGTAGGGAAAAAAAGTCTAAATTACTAGCCTAAATACGTTTGAGGATCTGGGCCTTCATTCTTAAGATGGAGCGAGTGAGGACATTTGACAGAGCAGAGATAAAAAGCCAAGGCAACGTTTGATAGCCCTAAGGAGTCCCTCTGGGAAGCAGGGACAAAGGTGGTTTTTAAGCCTTTAAAGCAAGAGCAGCTTTGTACCCTCTTTTGGGATCTCTTCAGAGTCTGACGCATCCTGAGTTTTAAACAAAGAGGAAGAGAGGGCCCTTTTCTAACAGCTGTTTCTGAGCTGCTCCACAGCAGCTATGAATCCCCACAGCGGTGTCTGCTGGAGGGATGAAACTCCAGCCTCTGACCCCTACTGTCTCCCCTCTGCAGGGGCCTGAACTTGACTTGAAAGTCAGCTCTGAACGACTCATCCCCTCACACTGTGTGGAGTGACATACAGGGGTTGTGGCAAGAACCAGGCTCCAGCCAAAACTTTTCTGTTGTACTCGCAGTGTAAAATTCCTTATTTTCAGTTATGACCTTTTAGGAATTTAATTATAACATTTATTGATGAATAGCAATATTATCTGCATACAACAATGGAAACTTCTTAAGAATATTACTACAATGTTTTAAATACTACATTGTAGAAATAGCAATATAATACATTAAAAGACAGCATACAGCCCAAGCCTCTAGTTAGGCTGCCCTGTTCACTTGTGCACTTGCACTATTGCCTTTATCTTTCTTCCACAGCCAATTTGTAAAGGACTAAGGACTTTGAATGGTTCTTACAATCCTACCAGCACAAGGATTGTCTGGAGAGGATGGCAATGTTTATAGGTAGCAGGGAACAGACAGTTTTGAAAACAATAAATGAAAAAACACCTTCATAGTTTCCTTGGATGCTTGTGGTCCTGTGACACTACACACAAAGAAGAAACATTAGCTTTGTGACATAGGATGTTCATTTTTTCGGTTAAGAGCCAAGCACCTTGAAACATCAAATGCTATTTAATAGATCTAGTGGAAGATTCAAAATGATTGGAATAGGAATTATTCTGTTGCTTCTGTATTTTTTAACAATGAAATGGCATGCTCTCTTTCACTGTAAGCTAATTTTCATAACATACTGCAGCTGTAAAGTACATGGTAATAAGTACATAATTAACCTAGTCATGAAGCTGCCAGAGAATCTAGTTAACTTAGTTGGATGGGTTATCAGATGCTCAGTAGAAGGATTTGGAGCAACAAACATAACCTCACCCAATTATGAAGCTGTGGTCTCACTAATTCTGTTACGATTGAAGTCATTTACAAGAAGTGAGCCTTCAGCTGCAGTCAGCATCGATGCTATTTTCAACAGTCAGGCAAAAAGTGTCCCCTGGGTAATGCACTGACCGTATCTAGTCATCAATACTGTTCACCCAGCTTATACTTAATCCTCTATTGAACAATTTATCCACCTGCATATTCTTTAGACCTATACCCTGCTTATAGTGTCATGTACTCATTAAGTTCCTGGATCATCTCCTGTCTTCTCATTCATGATGCTATCAGCTTTGTAAGTTACTCATGTATTCATTCACTGTACAGTTATCTTTGAGTTAAAGTCTGCTTAAAAGCAGTTTAGCTCTATCTGCGTTTCTTCTGACGCAGTTAACATGCAAGCCAATTACTGCATACATCATCTGAAGATTTCTAAGATGTTTCTCCTTATTGGTCTCTCTCACCCTTTTCTACTCAAGTAAACCAAGCACAGTTTTCCTTTGACTTCAGTGTGACTGAAAACTATTCACACACATTTCACCAGAAATACTTGTTTGATTTTTCTATGTAACAGCTATTCCACAGTAGCTCTATCTGCAATCATTTGTTTCCATTTGCTCTTTTTATCACCGTGAATAATGGAAATAAGTCAAATCACAAGCCAGAGAACACTGGGTTATGATCCCACGGGGCACACAAAGAAAACACCAGCAAACATAGGTGCATTATGCTAATAAACCAAAGCAACAAACTTCAGACAGCTGTAACACACTGTTAATCTGTGAAGTGAATTACATTGTGTGGAAACCATTTTCCCTTCTATTTAGACACAGATGGCAAAATGCATTGTATATGGCTATTGACACAAGTTATTAAAATATGATATGTTGTCATGGAACATAATTAAGGAAGTAGTCTGCTATCTTCAAATAATATCTGGAGTTCAGACATCATGTAGATGGTCATGGTAAAATCAGCACTTGAATAGAATAACCCTTAGGATATTCATCTGACCCTGACTTCACTGCATTGGTAAGGTAAACCAGACAAAGTAGCATCATTTTTCAACTGCCACAAATCTGTTGCGGGCATATTTTTCATAGCTCCCAACCACATGTGCCCACTGATGAATCCTTTCTAAATCTTCTCTAA